AGAGTGAGACTCCAACTCAAAAAAAAAAAAAAAAGAAAAAACAATTACACACCTTTTCTACAGAAAAAAAATAATGATATCTTGACTTTTTCTGCCTTCAGTTTTGTGTTTTCCAGCACCCAACATAACTTGTAAGAATTTAAGTGGCAACGAAACACATTTTACTGGAAAGGAAGTTGGTTTTTTCAAGCCCATATCTTGCCGAAATGTGTAAGTACATTACTGAAACTTAAATTTTCAGATTACTTGCCTATGTTTTATCTTGATTGCAAGGAGTAAAGAGATGAAGAGATAATTTATGGGGAAAATCCTACACATTTATCTTTTTGCTTGTGTCAGAAAATTTGTTTTAAATATGTATTTTTATTTTTATTTATATATATATTTATTATTTTTTGAGTGGAGTCTCACTCTGTCACCCAGGCTGGAGTGCAGTGACACACTCATGGCCACCGCAGCCTCAACCTGCTGGGCTCACTAGGTATCTTTGTTGGTATATCAAGTAGTTATTTATAGTCACTGTCTTAATCTTTCTACAGCATTTGGCTATTATCTTCTTTTAAAATATTTTTTTCCTTGGCTTATAGTATAAAACTCTCTTCTATTTCCTTTAACTCCTATTCTTTTGCTTCTTCCTTAAATTCTGATATCCCCAAGATTATACCCTTTGTTCTTTTTCTCTTTTTTAATTCATCCACCCCTTTGGCTTCTCCCACTATCTTTTTACATATGCTATATACTTGTGTATATAAAGCCATCTTTTATATATATGTGTATGTATATTTTTTATAGTACATAATATGTATAGTCCAAAATTGAATCTGTCTTCTTTTCCTTCAAATTATTTCCTCCTTTTTCTTAGTGAGTGACACTTGTCCTACCCAAGTTTTAAAGTTTTTAAAATTTCTAGATAGAGACAAGATCTTGCTATGTTGCCCAGGCCGGTCTTAAACTCTTGACCTCAACCTCCCAATGTACTGGGATTACAGACTCTACCCCCCTTTTTTTTTTTCTGAGTCAGGGTCTCACTCTGTCACCCAGGATGGAGTGCAGTGGCATGATCAGGATGATCACAGCTCATGGCAGCCTTGACCTCCTGGGCTCAGGAGGTCCTTCCCTTCAGCCTGCTGAGTAGCTGCGACTGTAGGCAGCTACTGATTTTTTTGTAGTGAAGAGGTCTGGCTATGTTGCTTAGGGTGGTTTCGAACTCCTGGGCTCAAGCAATCCTCTTGCTTCTGCTTCCCAAAGTGCTGGGATTACTGGCGTGAGACACCGCGCCCAGCCCCCTACAGTCTGTTTTCAGTACAGCAGCCAGAGTGATTATTTATTGTAAAATCTAAATCAGATCATGTCACACCTTTGCTTAGTATCCTGCAGTAGCTTTCCATTTCTCTAAGAGCAAAGTCAAGAGTATTTACAGTGGTGTTCAGGCACTGTGTGATCTGCTCCTCCACCCTTCACTGCCCCTCTGCCCTCATCTCCTAGTAGTCTTTCTTGTATCTCACTCTATTCCTGCTACACCAGCCTCCTTAATAGACTTCTGACACTCCATGTTGCTGCCTTTGCACCAGCTGTTTCTTTTGCCTGGGACACTCTTCCGTCAGAGGCATGACCTGCCTAACTCACGTCCCTCGGGTCTTTGCTCGGGTACCACCTTCTCAGTGAGGCCTGCTCCCATCGCCCCTTTTAATGGCCCCTTGCATTCTGGATTCCCCACCCCCTGCTCCATGTCTTTTTTTTCCATAACGTTTATGACTTTCTAACATAGTATATAGTTGCTTTCTTAATATGTTTATTGCTTGCTACCACTAGGCTGTGAGCTCCTCAGGAACAGGGGTCTTGCTCACTTTTGTTCATAAATATGTCCCCAAAACCTAACATCGTGCCTGGCACACGGGAGGCACCCAAAAGCGTTAACCGAATGAATGAATGAACCAGTTAACAAATAAGCAGTTATTCATAATTTTGTTTTCTAGAATGTGCATGTGTTGTAAATATATAAATATGACACTCATTTTGTGCAGAAATGGCTATTCGTACAAAGTGGCAGTTGCACTGTCTCTGTTTCTTGGATGGCTGGGAGCAGATCGATTTTACCTGGGGTATCCTGCTTTGGGTGAGTATGTCTCTGTCTCTTTTTTTTGAGTTGGATTCTCTCACTCTGTTGCCCAGGCCAGAGTGCAGTGGCACATTGACAGCCACCAAAGCTCAACGTGCTGGGCTCAGGTGATCCTTCCACCTCAGCCTTTCAAGTAGCTGGAACTACAGACATGCACCACTGTGTCCGGCTAATTTTTTGATTTATTGTAGAGATGAAGTCTCGCCAAGTTGCCCAGGCTGGTCTCCAATCTGTGAGCTCAGGCAATCCTCTGCCCTTGTCCTCCCAAAGTACTGGGATTATAGGCGTGAGCCACTATGCCCAGCCTGTTTCATGTTTTAAAAATCCATATGAATCAGAATATGTTTCATTTTTTAAAATCTATAGGAAACTGAGTGTGTTTCATTTTTTAAAAATCCTTATTAAACTGAGGTTGGAGTTAAATGTATGTATTCTTATAGATTAAATCTCTGTATATTATTAATAGTGTAAGTTCCATATAAATTGGAATTTAGCAGTGAACATTTTCTGTGAGTAGAGAGCTATCAGTTGGCCCAACAATTCAACTCAGGTAAGAAATAATCAACTTTTCATGTTATTTCCCTTTGTGAAAACTACCTTTATGAATGCCTCAAGAGAGTGCAAGTATTTACTGAAGACAGTAAACTGGAACTGTCGCTGCTAGAGTTGGGCACAGAGTGGATATTACAGAGTAGGTGGCATGCATATTATCTGCCCCTCCAAAAATGTCTTTCTACCTGACCCTCTATTACCATTGCTTTGGGAACAGAAACTACGTACTTCGGCTGGGCTCAGTGGCTCAGCCTATAATCCTGCGCTCTGGGAGGCCGAGGTGAGTGGATTGCCTGAGCCTGTGGGTTCGAGACCTGCCTGGGCAACTTGATGAGACCTCATTTCTACAATAAATAAAAAAAAAAATTAGCCGGGTGTGGTAGCGCGCGCCTGTAGTTCCAGCTACTTGGAAGGCTGAGGCGGAAGGATCGCCAGAGCCCAACAGGTCGAGGCTGCAGTGGCTGAGAGCGGCCACTGCACTCCAGTCTGAGCGACAGAGTGAGACTCCAGCTCAATTAAAAAAAACCAAAAAACTACGTACTTCTTTTAGGATAAGTTGGAGTTGGAACTTGGGCGATCAGTTTGAGTGGGGGCAGAAGCCTTAGCATCTTCGCCATGACTTCCTCCTAGCAATGAGCTTCTCATCTCCCATGGAGACTGATGCTTAGGAAAGCTGCCTGTAGCTGACTATAGCTTTTGTTTAAACAGAACTTCCACATGCCTACCCTTACTTAAGCCTTATAGCTCTCTGTGTTCATTGTCCTCTTTAAATCTTCTTTAACAGGTAGGGAACCTGTCACCGGAGAGCTAAGGGATTTACTTAGTCTAGAGGCCTTGCTTTATCCTGTGACATGTTTGTTATCATCTTTGTTTTATGAATAGAGAAATTGTCACAAGATTAAAAGATTTACTCAAGGACACTCAGCTAGTGACCTCAATTTGAACCCAGATTTTTCTGGCTTCAGAGATTGTGCTTTATTTTCTATAGCACACGGATTCTGTGTTAGCCCTTCACTGAGCAAATGTAAAATTTTTAATGCTGTGCTTTCCAGCTAGCAAAGCTAACTTTATTCCTTCCATGTTACTATGCACCAGAGGTCAAATAGGGATCGTCATTGTGGAGTTGGTGGAAGGTATGTTTCTGACACCTGTACCTAAAATTCAATGTGATAAATTCATAAATAGAAGTAAAAGTTTAGACTGGGTGCAGTGTCTCAAGCCTGTAATCCCAGCACTTTGGGAGGCCGAGGCGAAAGGATTGCCTGAGCCCACGGATTCAAGACCAGCCTGGGCAACTTGATGAGACCTTGTCTCTTCAATAAATTAAAAAATTAGCCAGTCATGGTGGCGTGCACCTGCAGTTCCAGCTATTTGTAATGCTGAGGTACAAGGATCTCCAGAACCCAGCAGGTCGAGGCTGCAATGGCTGTGAGCAGTGTGCCACTGCACTCTCGCCTGGGCAACAGAGTGAGACTTGACTCAAAAAAAAGTAAACGTTTAAAGTATTATATCCACTACTTTAGTCAACTCACAAGCATTTATTCAGTATTTAAGTGACTGATTGCTATGGAAATAATGATGACAGTCACGTTGTATATTGGTTGAAGATAAAAGAAATATGCTGCAGGCCAATTTATGATACATCCATGCCAGAACCATAACAAAGAGCCGTGAGTGCAGAGAAGGGACTGAGTCAATATAGTTGACTGCAGGGTGTGGAGGAAGTTCTTAGATGAGATGACGTTTGAGCCAGGCCAGGAAGGATGTCGAGACAGCAGACGTTTAAGACATTGCAGGGAACAGCATGTGCAAAGGCACAGGGTGTGAACGAGCAGGGATGTACATTGCCTGTGGTGCAGGACAAATAATGCAGGAGGTGACACTGATTAGAGGGGTAGCCTGTGGCCAGACTTTGAGTGTCTTGCTGTGGAGTCTGGACCTTTAGATATCAGAAGCAATACAAGTTTTTCAGCAGTGTGCCCTGGTCTGACTCATATTTCAGGAAGATAATATTGAAGGAATTGTGGGAAATGGCTTAGATTAGATGGCAGAGTAAACTGAAAAGAGGTTGATGCTGTAGTCCTGGCTGAATAATAGTGTAACTGTACTTTCGTGCCATTCATTGCAGTAACAATTACTTTCCATAACACAGTTGAAAACACATAGTAAGCACAGAAGGCCTCTGAGTTGCCAAAATAAAAATCATTTCATCTAACTTTCCTTTTAGAGGTGGATGGATGGAGAAACTAGATTCATAGTGCGAAAGTAACATGCCATGGTGAAGGTTGTAATAAATTCTAAATCTTCTGACTTAGTCCTTGCATTTCCTTCTATGTACTCTTTTTTTTGAGTTGGAGTCTCACTCTGTCGCCCAGGCTGGAGTGCAGTGGCGTGCATGCTCATGGTCACCCTCTGGCGATCCTTCTGCCTCAGTCTTCCAAGTAGCTGGAACTACAGGCGCCTGCTGCCGTGCCCAGCTAATTTTTGATTTTTGTAGAGACAAGGTCTCACTAAGTTGCCTGGGCTGCTCTCGAACCCGTGGCCTCAGGCAGTGCACTTGCCTGGGCCTCCCAAAGTGCTGAGATTACAGGCAGAGCCACCCAGCCCAGCCATCCTTCTATGTATTCTTTAAGAGGACAGGACCATTCTTTCTGGATGGTCTAGAGAAAAAAACAAGGAACAGGATCATATATATTTTTTGGAGAGATTTCTTACTTTTAAAAAGTTTTTAGGCTGGGTGTAGTGACTCAAACCTGTAATCCCAGCACTTTAAGAGGCCAAGGCAAGAAGATTGCCTGAGCTCAAGGGTTTGAGACCAGCTTGAGCAACATGGTGAGACCTTGTCTCTACAATCAATCAAAAAATAAGCCAGGCATGGTTGCACATGCCTATAGTTCCAGCTACTTGGAAGGCTGAGGTGTAAGGATTGCCTGAGCCCAGCAGGTCGAGACTGTGGTGGCCGTGAATATGTCACTGCACTCCAGCCTGAGCAACAGAATGAGACTCCGACTAAAAAAAAAAAGTTTTTAAAAGGTTTGGAGGAGCCAGATGTGGTGGCTTACACCTGTAATCCCAGTACTTTGGGAGGCCCAGGCCAGAGGATTGTTTGAGCCCAGGAATTAAAGATCAGTCTAAGTAACACAGTGAGACTTCCTCTCTACAAATATTAAAAAGTTGGCCAGGCATGGTGGCATGCTCCTGCAGTCTCAGCTACTTGAGGGGCTGAGGCAGTAGGATCACCTAAACCTAGGAGGTCAAGGCTATGGTGAACTATGATCATGCCAGTACACTCCAGCTTGGGCGATAGAGTGAGACCTGAACTCAAAATAAATAAATAAACAAGTTAACAAATAAATAAATAAAACAAAAGGAAGGAAGGAGACACACTATTCTTTCTTTTTTTTGAGTCAGAGTCTCACTGTCACCCAGGCTGGTGTACAGTGGTACGCTCACAGCCACTGCAGCCTCGACCTGCTGGGCTCAGGCAATCCTTCCACCTAAACTTTCCAAGTAGCTGGGACTACAGGCACACACCACCACATTCGGCTAATTTTTTGATTTATTATAGAGACGAGATCTCACCAAGTTGCCTAGGTTGGTCTTGAATACCTGGGTTCAGGTGATCTGTCGCCTCCGCCTCCCAAAGTGCTGGGATTACAAGCTGAGCCACTGTGTCTGGCTCACATACTATTCTTTAGAACAATTCATTCTGTGATGATTTTAAATATTTGGCTTAAGTGACTTTTTAGCTTCACGTGATGTTTGTCAGAGAAGCTGTTATGTCACATGGTGTAAATTAAAGTTTTTGAACTACTGCAGTACATAATATATTAGTATATTTATTTTGAATTTTTCTCTTACAAAGTAAAAATACAATTCTAGGCAGTAAAGCTCTGTGCATGTATAGAGGCTCTGTTTAGTGGGTGTTAGTTTATTGCCAGGAGTTGCCTTTCTGTGGCCACTGCCTCTGCAATCAATTATACCTTAAGTGTAAGAGTACCTTTCTGTTTGAGACTGAGGTTCTATAAATTTGCAAATTTAACTTTTGACATTTGACTTAAATGTAAAATGTAAAAGGTTTGTTTTTTTTTCTTTTTATAGTAGAGACGTGGATTTTTTTTTTTTTTTTTTTTTTTTTAGTTGGAGTCTCATTTGGTCGCCCAGACTGGAGTGCAGTGGCCGCTTCCGGCCACCGCAACCTCGCCTGCTGGGCTCCAGTGTTCCCTCTGCCTCAGCCTTCCGAGTAGCCAGAACTACAGGCGCTACCACGCCCAGCTGATTTTTTGATTTATTGTAGAGATGAGGTCTCGCTGCCCAGGTGGGTCTCGAACCTGCGGGCTCAGGCAATCCACTCACCTCAGCCTCCCAAAGGTGTGGGATTCCAGGCTGAGCCACCGAGCCCGGCGAGACGTAGATTTCATTATGTTTCCCAGGTTAGTCTCGAA